AATACATCCAGTTATCTCAATAAATTCCACACAGACAATAGCAATAGATTTCTATCATCTATTAGAATCTACAATATTTGCTAAAAGCTATATGCAACATCTCAAAAAACAATATAAATCTCAAATAATTCAAGTAGCATTTAATTATTTGAAAGCTACATTCATCCAAACTAAATACAAGTAGCATTTAATTATTTGAAAGCTACATTCATCCAAACAAGTATTTAATGTCAAAAACATGAAATTAAGTTCAAAATATCAAAACATTATTTAAATTGTTGTCCTAATATATAGTAACTTAGATAATCATATTCGAATTTCAACAATACATATTGGAAGAAGAGATATTGGGACTTGAACCTCATGTGATTATAATGTTTGGCTTTGTAAGAACATAGGAAGTAAAGGGATAATGTCTAGGTTTTTACAAGATATTAAAATATATATATATATACAAAACAAAAAAAAAAAAATTTTGTGGGGTCGTGGGGTCATTTGACCCCACATGACCCCATGTGGGTCCGCCCCTGAGTCAGATGATGGAGGCTTTGGAAGAGTAGCATGCACAGTGAGATCATCCTTTGAAGCTTGGTACCTGAAACAAGGAGTAGAGAGAGAATCCAAATTGACATTCAATTCATTTTTAGCTTGCCATGCTCGAAAAACAGATGCTATCATTTTAACAGTTGCATTGTTCTGCACTCTATGAAGATGTGCTTCAATATGTTCCTGAACTCCGGTAAGAGCACATTAGTTTACGGAATTGATGCTAAGAATTAAGCCAATATTCTTTAGCTTTTTTCTTGGATAATAAGTTACATTCACATATTCCCTCACGTCTAAATTGACATATCTACAAAAACATAAACAGGTTTTCTAACTTACATTCATATGAGATTTCAAATAAAATATGCTACAGTTCCGGCTGTTATCAAGAGTGCCCAAGCAGTTATCATTAATCGCAAGCATATTGTAGAAACTGAGGTAAATTAAAACCGAATGCTCTGCAAAAGAGCACCAGCGAAGTGCAACTAAGATTCATCCAATGGATCACATGGTCCATTTTTTATTTTGATTATTCTATTTATATAAATAGAAATCTATCATTTGCATAAGTTATGGAATATGAAAATTAAATCCAAAAAAATTAAAAAAAAATACTTTAAAAAGAAGTAAACTTTACCCAGTGATATAACTGCGACTTAAAAAGGTATTCATCAAGCTTCTTGAGGCCAGAATCTGAGCCGAGGTTGTAGAATGCGACAGCCATTTGCTTAATAATAATACTCGGATAGTTGAATCTGAATTAATTCGATTCCATTAAGCCAAACACACATTAAAAGATTGAATTATAGGTGCAAATCTATGAAATTTACATATTATGTGTGTAGAGAGAGAGAGGGATACACTCACATGACCAGGGCTGCAGGCGAAGAGCTTGGAGCGAGACGGGAGTTGGAGAATAAAAATAGGGCTTAATCGGTCGTACATATCTGGCACGAGGAAATGTGGTTTTTTCTACTCAGCCCCTCGAGTATCGTGATAAATGATAATCACCCCCTATAGATTGAAGAACTAACTTAGAGCCCTTAGTAACTTTTTTTTTTTTTTTTTTTGCAATGAAAATTAATAAAGCCATTGTTGGTCACAAAGTATTAGTTCAATCAAATCTAGTTACAAATTATGGCTCAGACATAAGAAGATGAAAGCATGGAGGAATATGAAACAAGTGAAACGATGAAAGCTTTTTAATGCTCAAATCAACTTATAGGGAAATAGTGAACATGCCATGATATTTTTTGAGGGGTTAATTGATTTCTCTAATTCCCACGAAATCAATTTCAGTATATGCTGAAGAGTATCAGATCTCGTAAATTCGTTAATTGATTTCTTCTTCATCATCATCATTCTTCTTTATTCAAGAGTTGGAAAAATCTGTTGTATCATCGATATGTCAATTTGCATAAAATAATGGTAACAAGAAATGGGCAGCAGCAATTGAAATAGAAAGGTAATGATGATGTTGTTGTTGTCAGTCTTTTGGGGCTAATACTGTAATTCAATGGAAGCAGTGGTAGTCTTTGTTATGTGATAGAATCATATATCGAATAAAGATGTAAACATAAACTAACTTATAAAAGATTTGGCTACTCTTCTTAATAATATTGATCTTTTAAGATAGAACTCTAATTCTTAAGGGAAAAATTCAAAAATCCGGTATTAACATTGACACAATTCAATTTTCAGATGTCAAGTTTCAAAATGCAAAACTCAAGTATCTATTTATTAATTAAAAATATTTAATTTTAATATAATATAATTAACTCATCCCACCTACACCACCCCTACCGTTCCGGCCACCACTCTCCTCCAGTAATCGTTTCGATGACTATTCCGACGACCGTTCTAGCGATTGCTCCAATTCCTGCAATTTATAAAATACGGTCATAGATTCACAATTTAAATAGTCACATATTATTTTACGGTTACAGTTCAAAAATTTTGTAAGTCACAATTAATTCGTTGGCCACAGATCAAACTTTATAAGTCACACAGTCACAAATTTCCAAATTAGTTGGTCACAAATTTTTTCAAAGTCACAGATTGTATAATTTTTAGGTCACAGATAAGAAAATGATTGGTCACAGATTATCTTTTTAGTCATAGATTATCCAAATTTTTAGGTCACATATTATATTTTTAGTCATAAAACCAAAATCGCCAGATCCTCTGCCTGCACCACCGTTGACTGTCACCACCATTGTTAACCTACCATACATGAGCACATACCACAGCACACCGACAATGTCACCACTGCTGCAAGCAGATCTGACCAGCAACGACCGTAGTACATCACTACCACACAACCACCAAATCCACCATCGCCACGACACAGCACACAACATCACCATCGAAAAACACCAATGCACCTCCACCTCCACCGCACCATACCTCTATCGCGCACAACAACTTGTACCACCACCTCCACTGCACACCACACACCGCGCCACAAACCAGATCTCAACCCACAAACCCACCATACCACATTTGCACTACAACACAACCAGCATCAACACCACCACCACACCCCGACGCAAACACCACCACCACAACAAAAATTAAAAAAAGAAGATGAAAGGGAATTGCAAGGACTAATTTGTGTTCAAAACAGAATAGATGAACTCTCAGCCGTGAAGCCCTCTACCACTGACGACGCTGCTGAGAACTCTCAGCAGCCCTAGATCGCTGCATAGTGAAGAGCGGAGGCGATCAGGCACAGAGAAGCCGCCGGTGAAGAGCGGAGGCGATCTCCACCCGTGAAGCCCTTTTGTCGGCGGCAATCTCTGAGTGTTATTTGTCAAGCCCAGTGAAGCCCTCTCCTCGGCGGCAATCTGCGACGGGCAATGAACCGCTTGTTGTTATTTATGATAGAGAGAATATAGAGAGAGAATGGAGAAGAGATGGAGAGAAAATAAGGTAAAATGATTAGGGTTTGGAATAATTGGGTGGAGATATTTAGAGCACGTTTGCCGAGGATTAAAATTCAATTTTAATTCAAAATATGGCCGTTATTGGTCTCACTCGTCTAATAAAAGTCAACAATAAAGGCTAATTTTTCAATTTTAATCCAATCTTAATTTCTACCGAACACACCCTTAATATTTAATTATTATATTGATACCTGATTTATGAATAATGAAACTTTCAGACCTGATTTTTGAATTGTAATCTTTAAACACCTGGTATTATGTAATTTCCTCAATTCTTAACATGGTATTAGGGCCCATTAAGTTCTAACGAGCAATTCTATTTGATTATGACTCCAAAAGTGAGCATGCGGATTTCAAGATTGGTCTACTCATACGAGCCACCATCTTACATTGGCATATTAAGGGATAGAATCTCATATCGAATAAAGATGTAAACATAAACCAACTTATGAAATATTTGATTACTCCTCTTAATAAGGTTGACATTTTAAGATGGAACCTCAATTCTTAACAGTCTGAATCGGTTTTGTGGGGGTGGGTGAGCCTGGGAGATAGGAATCTTCTTCTTTTTTCATTTAATATTATTTTATGTGTAATATGAAAGTACGCTTTTACCCCTTTTTGCATTGGTTAAAAGAAGTCAAATTATTTTTTAAAAACAATCTTCATCCATTTGAACATTAAAGGTCCGTTTGATTACAAGGGTGAAAAATTGGTGGAAAGAAAAATGATTTTCAGAGAAAATAATTGCCTCGAAATTGTTTTGCAGGGAACTGTTAATTAAGAGCATGTTTGGTAAAGCTTAAAATCAAATTAAAATTGAAATATAGTCATTATGGATCATACCCGTCTAATAAAAGTCAACAATAACGGCTAATTTTTGAATTTTAATCCGATTTTAATCTCAACCAAACACGTCCTAAGTGTGTTTGATTGGTATAATTTTCCACCCAAAAAATTTTAAAATTTTGTATTCGTTTGATTTTGTTTTACATGAAAATTGTCCATTAAAGTGATTTTTTTCCACAATTGGCTATAAAATTTGTTTTCATTGCCAAAAAGTTGAAAAAAAAAAATTTGTTTTCTAGAAAATTATTATTTTTAATTAAAATTTAGTATTCGTTTGACTTTGTTTTATATGAAAATTGTCTATGAAAGTGAATTTTTTTTTTACAATTGATTATGAAATTTGTTTCCATTGCCAAAAAAAAATAAAAAGCTGGAACTTCCATTTCCCACCAAAAATGTGGGAAAAACAATTCAAGCAAATCCAA